GAGATGAAGCAATGTTCACACATTGGAAATGATGATCATCGGAGAGTTCGTGAGGCACTCAAGCACCTTTTTCCCATATTCCTTAGATATTTAAGTATTGTTTCATGAGAAACATGCAATTTCACTAGTGTGTTGCCTTGGGTTAGACTCAGCAAACGTCTTCAGAGCATCAATATCAATTCCAACATGTTGGCTCCTGCCATCACAGTTTTTAAGGCTAAAATGATCTGAACGAAATTTGCTGAACCTTCGTTGACACTTACGATTGTTCAAAACATTTCCATAAACTTTTTTGTGGCTACAGAGTCATTGTTTCCCTTCTTGTATTCAAAAAGCATTACATGCTGAATATGTGTCTTGTCGGGTGCCATCACTATAAGGGATTAGAGTATACTAAACTTTACACATTATATAGGCTACACTAACGTGACATTTTGACAGTTCATTTAACTATTATACGTGATGCACGTTTTTTTGGGGGGGTAATGAAAATGTTCCAAAACGCAACATTTATTTCTTGATGACCTAATAGTTCAATAAAATTTTGAATGCGAGTAGTCAAATGCAATGACGTGGCCTTTCACCCGTGACCTGTCTGGAAAGAGTTAAGAAATATTTATTTCAGCTCCATCTAGAGGATATATATATAGTGAAAATAAACTAAATATGTATATTATTTCACAATTTATAAAAATTTATATAGGAATAAACCATCTTAAATATTCTTGTGTTTGAATTTCTAAGTTGTATATATTTATTTTTGGCCTTGGTGAATTTTCTAGAGCTGCTTTTCAATATGGTGTAAAGATGGCTGATGGACGAAAAACTCGTCGTTTAGCCACAGGAAAAAAGGATGAGAAAACCAAGCTCGACAGAGAACTACAGAAAATTAACCAGGTATGTAGAAATTATGCTAATTGTAAACATTTGAAATTTGACAAGGAATTACAGAAAATCAACCAGATATTCAGCTGTGATTGGTCAGAAGTTTAGTAGAAATTAGGCTAATTATAAACGTTTGAAATTTGACAAGGAACTACAGGAAATTTAATATAGATAAAGATAATTATACACATTACTGTATTTTCACTGAAAATAAACACAAGTTTTTATTTTGAAACTAAATGAATATGCTACATGTAAAGTTAAAGTCTGAATTTGTATCATATACATAGTTTTTAGATTTTGAATGTTTGAAGACATTTAATAAATACCATTTGTTAGTCTATATAATAATAGTTGTATTTCTAGTTATGATTCAAAAAAGATATACATTGTGACTGAAGATATTGATTTTATCAACAATAGCTGCACCCACATCTATAAAGTTTTTTACTTTCTGTAGATAATCTCTAAACGAAAGGCTGCAGAAACTGAGGCACTAGTCGCTGGCATGTAAGTGATTTTTACTTTTTTAATATAACTTTAAAACTTCACTAATATTAAATTGGTTAAATAACATCTTATCAGAAGATGGAATTATGGTATTAATACATTTTATTTTACATAAAGTAGCACTTATGACAACTAAGCAAGATAGGATGGTTAGCTGAAAGAACAGATATCTCTTGTATTTAATGAGTGACCTAATTACTGGATAACTACTAGCTTTAAAGGTTGTGATTGAATATTTCAAATGAATTTATGATTCAACAAGGTATTAATTTAGTTGAAGGAAATTTTGAAATAGATTTTAGTCATATTTTTACATATCTCCTAGCTGACATACCTATCCCATGTCACTCCATTTGAGATTATAAAGGGTGACAATTGGTCCAGTGAGTTGCCAGGTTCAGATGGACACATGAGTATTCTGTTAAATAGTGTTGTAGAAAAATTATGTTATTGCCAGTGTACAATTATTTTGTTGCAGGGGTACACCTGATGTAAAAAGATCACGATATTAACTGTGGAGGAACAGAAAGTTTTGCTGCTAATGGAGTGAGTGACGAAGTTAAAGTAATTAGTTACTTATGTAATTCCTTTTTGTTTCAAAATATACTGTAACAGATCCACGTAATAAAACACATTTTTTAATTTAAAAAGATTGAAATATATGATTCAAGTACATATCAACTTTGTATTCAAAACATGCCTTTTAATTTACCATACATAAAAACAAAGGGTATTTTCTTTGTAACATGAAGATGACTGATTCATACTTAGTCTTAGAAAATACCTAGTTAAATTGTTAAGAAGTCATCAGTCTCCACCGTACTATATAGCTACTCGATCAAGGATTTTTATATAACAAGCAAGGAGACACTTATATTTTCTTAGTATTAATATATCTTTGGTAGCTTGAGTAGCATCAGAAAATAATATGCTGTTTTGATGACTTGCTGTAGAAACACCACCAAAATCTGTAGGAATATTAATTTTTTTATTATTATTAATATTTTTTTACAAACTGGAGTATATTCATCTCTCATCTTGGCAAAACAATCCACAGACGTGGTTCCCAGATCTTCTAGAAGGAGAATCATTGTCTACAAGACGGAAGGCTTCCAGAAATTCATTGAAATCAATGAATCCATCCTTGTTGATGTCTATACTCTTGGCCAGATCCTGAATCTCTTCTTGATGCATAGACGTTTTCAGATGTTTACTTAACAACTGGCAAGCATCTGTAAACTCTTGCATGGAAATTAGTCCTAGGCATAACAAAGAAATGTATGTCCACATGTAATTTAATTCCAAAGCTCAGTGTAAATAGTGAAAAAAGTTCAAGACCTATAGTTATATGCATGTTAATATAGAGAATACACTGTATTAACTCTATAGAGAAGAAAAGCTCATTTAGAATGGGTTAACAACTGAATACTTGGAACTACTTAGGCCATAGATGTGATACAGAGGTACTAGAATGTGGAGGTAAAATATGTTATCTTACCTGATCCATCAGTATCAATAAATCTGAATATGGTCTCCAGAGTGTCCTTACTACTGTATAAGGTTTCTAGAAGTGATATTACTAGAATGTGGAGGTAAAATATGTTATCTTACCTGATCCATCAGTATCAATAAATCTGAATATGGTCTCCAGAGTGTCCTTACTACGGTATAAGGTTTCTAGAAGTGATGGCTCATTCTGGAAAAAAAAAATTCATTGTTCATCAAATTGGCAGCAAATAGCTAGGCTAATTCTTTGTGTATTTCATGGTCAGATTTTTATTTTAAATGAGAAATGCTTTATCAGCTGGTTAGAGTAATATTTGTCACTTCAAAATATTGGGAATTTCATCAGAATTTAAAACCCATACTGAATTTTCATAATTAGAATTAATGTTCATTTTGTCTAACAACCAGTATTTGGTAGATAAAACAAATTGTGTTTGAGTTACCTGTTCAGCCAGCTTGTTCTGAATGGTATACTCTTGGAAAATTGACTCGTAGTAAACATTGCCAGATAATGGATCCAACTTAGCTATCTTAGGGCAGAGCAGTCTCCAGGGTAGTTGTAAACCTACTACTTCCTTCATGATATCGCACCACCGGCCAATACATATCTTTCCTGTGGAGACAAGATTATTAACTGTGTGTAATCGGTAAGGAGTGCAAAGTACAAAATCTCAAGATTCTGTAACTTGCAGTTTTTACTGGTTTTAAGTGCATGATGAAAATAGTTAACCAAACCAACCTGTGGCCAGAAGAGGTCACGTAATGCAATAGTTCCAAAGTACATCACTAAAGTGTGGGTGATTAGTTTAATTACAGTCCATGTAGAGATCTATTTTTTGTATTGGCATGCAACAGTCAAACTAGAAATAAATATCATATGTATCACATTACAGATTAAAGAAACTACAATTTGATTATCTTTATTTTTTAGTTTCAACTTTGTAGTTTTACATCAATAATAAAACTTTGAATTAATTAATGTTTCATTTATTACAATTTGATTATTTGTAGAGTATACTTGGTGGTTTACATTTATGAATATTCATATACTAGCTTAACTTGGAATCTATGTAGAAGACTTAGATCATTCAAACTATATATATAAAAACCTTAACTGAAGTTTTATGTCTAAATAAAAAATATTATTCTGTTTTGTTGTAGTTTGTGTATCATACTGCATGGCTTAAATTATCATAAGGTGACTATCTCACCAACCAAACCCTAGTGACACACCTTGGTACTACCTGCTCTCTGGAACCACTTTATTTAACTGTGTTACAGGATATTGCAGTCTCAAACAATACCCCCACACACACACTTTGATCTCCCCTTTCCTTCATGTACTCAGGCACCTGACATATTATTATTATTATAATAGTTGGGTAGATAATATAGCTAAATTAAAACAACACACAGATCAATATTCTTAACTTGGAAACCAAACCCTTGGGGGGAATAAACCCACTTTAGGTTTTACTGTAAGATCTACAAGTACCTGACTTATTATTACAGTTGGGTAGATAATATAGCTAGTAAAATAACACACATATCTCAACTTGGAGTTTCCAAAAATTTTAGATTTTCATGCAAGATCTATAAATACCTGACTGTTCTGTGTCTTCCATGTGAAACTTCTCTATCAGTAATAGATGTGATGCGTAGATAAGCTGCTTCAGTTCCCTCAGAGCCGACTGTTCAACATATCCTTGTCTGTTATGATTAATAAAAAGAAACATGAGCTTCTGGTATATTCTATGAAATCACTCAAAGTGTTATTTAAGGTCATTTTTTTCCAGAGGTGCAACAAGTGCACTGTTCTCCACATGATAACTTACTCTTTTGATGAAGAAATGGATATACTGTGCAATTATCTGCTGAGAGAAGAGTCACAGTATATTAAAAGAAAATTTGTAACTTAACATATTTTTTCAGGAAAACTTGCCTTTGTTGTATTTCAGCATTGCTGGTATGACTTGAGCTGACATACATCACAATCTGTGTTACCAGATTTGTTCCTACAAGTTTCACATATGCAGCTTTGTTTGTTCCCTCAGCATAATAATTAGAAGCTGAGAATATCGTAAGAACCTGAAACATGAAGTATTAGTTAATGAACTTGGTAAAAATGGTTGCTTAACTAGAATTACACATTGAATGAGAAGAAATGTATAAAAATAATCATTTTCAGATGAGGCAAGTACTGTAAGTTAAACTTTTATAATATCCAAGCAATAAGTTTTATCTGTGAGTCGGATGCATCACTAGTTTTGGAATTTCCTTTAAAACTTAATTGTAAAATTATTACAAAAGTCTTTGTGGCTTGTAGAACTTGAATGATACAGTTGAAGAAATAACTCTCTGCAAATAAGTGGGCTTGACTTTACATTATTTTTACCGAATAATCGAAAAGAACCTGCCCAATGACAGAAACTATTGCAACAATATTAAAAACCCTATAAGCTTAGCACTTTAAAAAAAGATGGACCTATCTTCAGGGACAAACTGGGAATGGTGCTCTAACTGATTGAGTAATATATGAAGATATTTAAGTGATATCACGAAGGTCACCTGGGTTTCCAGGAGGTATTTTTGTATATCTTTCAGTGTACTCTTGTGTGTCTCATTTCTGGTGCAACATGGCCAGAAATGAGAGCATTATGTAAAAAGTGTTAGAGATGTTTTGCTTTAGATCAGTTACTGTTTGAGATTCTGATGAGTTTGAAAGGGTTAAGGTGGACTTTTGAGTTTCTAGTTGTTCATCATGAGGAATGTTGTGTAAAGGGAAGAGATGTACAATGTACACGGAAGACTGTTAGGCGGTAAGTGTCCATTGGTTGTGATTTGTTCTATGATATTAAGAAAGTAAGTAGTATCCTTTATGTGAGAAAGGAGGGTACAGAAAATACATTTTATGTGTTGGCCAACAAAAGTGGACAGCTTTTTAGTAGCCATATTTATGTTAGAAATTATGGATCGGCGAGAATTGTTTGGTTTGTGTATTTTTGGTAAGAGATAGAATCTACCTGGACAAACATGTCTGGGTATAAAGTGCTGGAAAGTTTCTTTGTTAATTTTCTTGTTTTGGAGGAGTTATTTAATTTTTTCACCAAAGAATGGTTGCCATCCACGTAGTAAAGCTTGTTATAAAAACTACTAGCTTTTTCTGACAAGCACAACCAGAGAAAATTTAAAATTTTTAAAGAAATCGCTTGTGGAACAGTTTTAAAGTCAGTTTCAATGCTGAGGAGTAACATTGTTAATAGTATGACTGGGTTGGTTGAAGTGTTGAGCAAGAGAGAGATCTTTTTCGGTGTTGAAACTGACTTTAAAACTGAAGCTGAGAGTGAGACAAAAGAAGCTTATTGGCTTGTTAATCTAAATACTGTTCAACCTTGTGGAATAAATCTAGATCCTGGAATTGATGATTAGTGATCATTGGTTTGTTTTGTATTTTTTTCATGTAGCATGAATTCTCAATGTTTGCCCATAATCTTTCTAGTATATGCTGTTTATTTATGATAGTTTCCATGCATGTCTTAGAAATTGATCTGCTTAACATTTCTTTTTCAGTCAGTCTCCATGTGTCTCCTTTATTTTACTATAATAACACTTAAGTATAGTTTTTCTTGACCATTTCTAAAGCAAAACATATCTGCTCCCTTTTTTTATATATAATGCTTTCATTTTGGACTGTTTTGCATTGGCAGTGAGACACATTAGAAAATACACAAAAACACTTCCTGGAAGCCCAGGTGACCATCATGATGGTCCATTATATATTACTCATTTGGTTACACCACCATTTCTAGTTTGCCCCTGAAGAAGAAAGGTTCACCTTTGGAAATCACTCAGGTTATAGGGTTTTTATCATTTTGTATTGAAACTTCTTGCATGTATCTGATATAATGAACAATATTACTATGGTATTTGAGCACCATGGACCTTCTTAACAGCATTACTTCAATTTAGTAATGAATTTTCCAACCTTATGGAATATTTATCTCACAGTTGAGTTTACCTGAATAAACTGGAGGACTTGATGTATGAAGTGGACTTTAGGAGCACAAAAGGTTGTACAAGAAATAGAAAAGTATTTAATGACTTTAGACAAAAACATTACAACAAAGGTTTATAAATCTATCCATATTTATTCTACATTAGAGTCAGTTATATTTATATGTTGTAGAAGTATGAAGAAAGTTGTCTGCAAAACATTTATACCACCTCTCAGTAATAACTGCTTCCAATTTGATTAATTATATTGAAGTACTAGAAATGTAGTTTTTAAGAATAATGGTTTGATGAGATTAGGCAGACCAGAGGAAGAATGACTGTTGACTTCTACATGCTTGATCAGTGTGTTTAACAACTTTTGGTATTGATTGATACATATTTTTAAAAGGCATCATCACCAGCTGGATAAAATGCATCATCATAGATTGATTTTGGATTCCTATAAAGCCTTTGTAGTGACTAGTTGTTATGTTGTCTTTTAGATAAGGACTAGACCAAATCTGTATAATTAAGATGCAGCCTGGATCAAGAAACCATAGAGAAGACATCCAGAAAGATAGTTACCATTCACTGCTTCAAGTTACAACCTTAAAGGATGGACCCAGTGAGTGTAACTTAATGTCTGTCTATCTTTAAGTAAAGATTTTCGAACACCTGGCATGACAAACCAACACACACTGTTACACCTTGTGATTTACTCATTCAATTGACAGGCTTGTTCATTTTTAAGAAGGAGTTCCAGTATCTGTATTTTTGAACATTTGTACATTGTAGAATAAATATTAATAACATGTCTGAACAGTTTTTTTCCTTTAAAGATATACAGTAGCATAAATATGAAATGTGTTTATGTACTTGAGCATAAATCTTAAAAATTGTATTGACTAAACACTATATACTGACTTACATATCATTTCTGATATTAAAATATACATTATTTTGTGGAGAAAAGGAAACCAGTAATAGTACAACACCCTATATTAAATTATGTATGTTAGAGATTTAAAAACGATGAAGGAGTGAAAGAAACCTGGAAAATAGTGGTTATTATTGGATAGACAGATCATATGTTCTTGCTATGCAAAGTGGAGCATATTATTTCCATAGAGGTGGTTCAGAGCTGCAGTATCCAAAGTTGAGTACATTCTCTCCATAGGAGTTGTTTTGAGCTATGTTATACAAAATGGAGCATATTATTGGCATAGGGGTGGTTTGGAGTGGCAGTATGAAAAGTATAGCACATTGACTCCACAGAGGTGGTTTGAATCTATGGTATGGAAAGTGGAGCACATTGACTCCATAAAGATGTTTGGAGCCATGGTAAGGAAAGTGTCACATATAAAGCTAGCTATACCAAAAAATGCAACCACATTGACCTACCCTGTCACCATGAGTAAACTCAAAACCATCTGGTTTACATTCATGTGAGCGTATAATTCTCTCTAACTGATAGCGCTGCAGGAATGCCTCCGTCACATCCGGTCCAAAGAAACTTCCGCCTCCCCGGATTGAATTTGTGTGGCAACCTGGCTGAGGTCTTGGATCACTCCATAAAATTCCGACAACCTTTCCAGAAGTAAATAATAATTATAATAATGGTGAGGTAAAATAAAGCTAACCAATATCCATAAACCAACATATCATGAAAAACTTTTGTAAGGTTTTCTAACCAGTATTTATACAAATACTTATCAGAGTCAATTCTTAAGTATTGATAATGGTTGAGTAGCAAGTTTTTTGTTTGTTTGTTTTGATCTTGCCTAACAAGACAACAGTAGCAATTTGTTTAATTCAGTTTTATGCCCTCCAGAACTGCAAACGTTCACAGCCGTTTTTCCCTCAACTTTCTTGCATTCTTTAAATATGATATATTATACAGAAGGTTAAGTACATTATATTAAAACGAATTTTGGAACGTAATGACGTTATAGTTGATATTGCCACGTCCAGTCATGATCTATCTGACGACCGTGCAACTTGACAAAAGCCCTGCAACGTAATTTTTATTGCGAAGGGTTCCGTTGTAAGGCTGTCATGTCTACAACAGACTTCTCTACATGCTCTTCGTATTCCATCTGGAGTACTAGGACGATGGTCTCAAGCGCCGTTTGAACAATCTAACTACACAGAAATCTAAAGGTGCCCCGAAATGTACGTCTTCGTATAGAATAGCAGGAATATCCGTTTCATTCTCCAGTTACTTGAGATAATCGACAGTTTAATGGAAGCCTTATCTTTGTTCTATAGTTTCAGAAAAGTTTTAAAGGTTTTTACTTTAACACGGCAAGATTTTTTGTAGCTTCAAACAAAATTCCAGAGGCGAAAAAGGATATTCGGAAGTTATTAAAGGGAACCTATTACAGTAACATGTATAAACTCAAGTAATGATAGTTATACATAAATAATGTAATTTGATACAAACCATTATAGTAATGTATGTTTTAATATTCCACATTGATTCACGATTCAATCCCAAACCCGTCTAACTCCAACGTTTCATTGCTAAACACGTCTAGCGCTAAAGTTCCATTTCTTGACAGGACTATGACTAAATTTTCATAAATTCTTATATCTGTAAACGTACCTGGTCCCACTCCTCTTGGTCACAGGTCATCTTCCCATCAATCATTGGAGGTTGAAGGATCGTAATAAGCTGAAGAATAAAGTTTCACAAACTGGTTATTTATCTTCTCTTATACATCTCAAATCTAACCGTCTACAATGAAATCTATAAATTTCTCTCTTTCTGTATAACAAAATTAATAGCTCTCTCAGTTCTTTTTAAGAGCAATGGAAGCTATATCGAACCCCTTATTCTAGAATTATAGCCTTCACGGTTACCGTTGATCCTTCGGGGATATATAATTATAAGTAGAATAGTACTTAGTTTAAAACCTTACAACCTATTACTTGTACTTAAATCAAATGTACTTTCAGTAGCTCACTTTTTTCCACAGATTTTTTATATTTACGATAAAGCGACTTATACGAAACACGGGTTCTTCAAATAGATCAGAAATTCCTTGGTTCAGGCATGGCTATCAATAACACAGGCCTGCGAATTTAAACTTCAGAAAAGTTGTTTTGGTTTTAATAATGAATAAATAGGGAACATAAACACCAGCTTATCTCTAATTCGGACCTTCAGGTCAACAGTAAACACTACAGATAAAGCTTGTTCCAAGTAACTTTGTGTTCCTTCTATTTATTCTTACAATACCACATTTGACTGATAAAGTTGTGTTCCTTCTATTGATACTTACGATACCACATTTGACTGATAAAGTTGTGTTCCTTCTATTGATACTTACGATACCACATTTGACTGGTAAAGTTGTGTTCCTTCTATTGATACTTACAATACCACATTTGACTGATAAAGTTGTGTTCCTTCTATTGATACTTACAATACCACATTTGACTGATAAAATTGTGTTCCTTCTATTGATACTTACATTACCACATTTGACTGATAAAGTAACTTCATTTTCCGTGCATTACTTATATTTAAAATAAGGAATTTCACTGTTAAATACCTTATTTCTTTCCATGTTCTGTTTTTCTCTATAAATTAATATTTCAAGTTCAAACGTGTAACAGGAACAACTATTACAACGAACATAGAAGAAACAAAAACTGTATAAAGAACGATGCTAGATAATGTTCCCCTTCTTTCGTTTTTTATTAAATCCCTAATGACATCATTATATACTAATTGCATAACATGCATTGGGGAAGGATATAAATCACTCAATTAACTGATTAAGTACTCATATATTTAAATTAAAAAGTCTGTGAAAAGGTGGAAATTTGCCCTATTTCAGACTGTTTTATATCCCTATTCTCAGGCAAAAATCCTCAAACATTATAGCCAAAGTACACTGTTAAACAGTTACCTTACAAAAAAATTACGGTAATCGAGCCAATTAACTCTGGGTGATGGTTGCTAACACACACATAACGGATCATTTTTATAAAAGATGTTAAAGTAAGTCTGCAAGTGAAACAGCAACTTTTATTACAAAGTTAAGGCTAGTCCGAAGTTGAAACAGGAACAGTTAGTAAAAAGTCAAAATAAGTCCAAAGGTGAGACACAAACAGTTACTACAAAGTTAGGGCAAGTCCGAAGGTGAAACAGTTATGACAGAGTTAAAACAAGTCCGAAGGTAAAACAGGAACAGTTATAAGAAAATTAAAGCAACAACGAAGTTGAAACAGGAACAGTTATTACAAAGTCAAAGCAAGTACGAAGGTGAAACAGTAAGAGTTATTACAAAGTTAAAGCTAGTACGAATAGGAAACAGGAACAGTTATCACAAAGTAAAGGCTATTCCGAAGTTGAAACAGAAACAGTTATTATAAAGTTAGTGCAAGTCCGAAGGTAAGAGAGAAACAGTTATTCGAAAGTCAAAGCATTCCGAAGGTGAAACAGGAACAGTTATTACACAGTGGAAGCATGAATAAAGGAGAAATAGAAACAGTTATTACAAAGTTAAATCAAGTCCGAAGATGAAACAGAAACAGTTATTACAAAGTCAAAGCAAGTTCGAAAGTGAAACAAAAACAGATATTACAAAGTCAAAGCAAGTCCGAATGTGAAACAAAAACAGTTATTACAAAGTTAAAGCAAATCCAGAGGTGAAAGAGAAACAGTTATAATAAAGTTAATATAAGTTCGAAGGCGAAACAGGAACAGTTATTACAAAGTCAAAGGATTCCGAAGGTGAAACAGAAACTGTTATTACAAAGTTAAAGTAAGTCCGAAGGTGAAACACGAACACTTATTGCAAAGTTAATGCAAGTAGGAATAGCTACTAGATGGTTAAGGCTAGTCTGAAGGTGAAACAGGAACGGGTATTTCACAGTTAAAGCAAGTCCGAAGGTGAAACAGAAACAGTTATTACAAAAATCAAAGCAATTTTGAAGGTAAAACACGAACAGTTATTATAAAGTCAAAGCAAGTCCGAATGTGAAACATAAACAGCTATTACAAAGCAAAAGCAAGTCCGAAGGTGAAACAGGAACAGTTATTACAAAGTTAAAGCAATTCCAAAGGTGAATTAAAAACTGTCATTATAAAGTCAAAGCAAGCCCAAAGGTGAAACAAAAACAGTTATTACAAAGTCAAAGCATACCGAAGGTGAAACACGAACACTTATTGCAAAGTTAATGGAAGTCCGAAGGTGAAACAGGAATAGCTACTAGATGGTTATGGCTAGTCTGAAGGTAAAACAGGAACGGGTATTACAAAAATCAAAGCAATTTTGAAGGTAAAACACGAACAGTTATTATAAAGTCAAAGCAAGTCCGAATGTGAAACAGGAACAGTTATTACACAATGAAGCAAGTCCGAAAGTGAAACGAAAACAATAATGACAAAGTCAATGCAAGTCCGAAAGTGGATCAGGTACAGTTATTGCACAATCAAAGCAATTCCGAAGGTAAAACAGTTAAGAGAAAGTTAAAGCAAGTCAGAAGATGAAACAAGAACAGATATTACAAAGTTAAGGCCATTCCGAAGGTGAAACAGGAACAGTTATTGCAAAGTTAAGGCAAGTCTGAAGGTGAAACAGAAACTTTTATTATAAAGTTAATATAAGTCCGAAGGTGAAAGAGAAACAGTTATTAGAAAGTCAAAGCATTCCAAAGTTGAAACAGAAATAGTTGTCAGAGAGTTAAACCAAGTCCGAAGGTGAAACTCTTAACAGTTATTACACAATAAAGGCAAGTCCAAATGTGAAACACAAACAGTTATTACAAAGTTAAGGCAAATTCGAAGGTGAAACAGGAACAGTTATAATAAAATCAAAGCAAATCTAAAGGTGAGACACAAACAGTTATTACAAAGTCAAAGCAGGTACGAAGGTGAAACAGGAACAGTAATTACACAATCAAAGCAAGTTCGAAGGTGAAACAGTTATGAGAAAGGTAAAACAAATCCGAAGGTGAAACTCGAACAGTTATTGCAAAGTCAAAGTAAGTCCGAAGGTGAAACAGTAAGAGTTACTACAAAGTTAAGGCTAGTCCAAAAGTGAAACAGTTACTACAAAGTTAAAGCAAGTCCGTAGGTGAAACAGGAACAGTTATAAGACAAAGCATACTGAATGTGAATCAGTAACAGTTATTGCACAGTGAAAACAAGTCTGAAAGTGAAATAGAAACAGTTATGACAAAGTTAAAGCAAGTCCGAAAGTGACACAGATATGAAAAAGTAAAAGCAAGTCCGAAGGTGAAACACACAAACAGTTATTACAAATATAGGGCAAATCCGAAGGTGAAACAGGAACAGCTGTTACAAATTTAGGGCTGGACTGAAAGTGAAACAGGAATAGTTATTACAAAGTTAATGCTAGTCCGAAGGTGAAACAGGAACAGTTATTACAAAGTTAATGCTAGTCCGAAGGTGAAACAGGAACAGTTATTACAAAGATAAAACAAGTCTGAAGGTGAAACAGAAACTGTTATTATAAAGTTAATGTAACTCCGAAGAGAAACGGTTATTAGAAAGTCAAAGCATTCCAAAAGTGAAACAGCAACGGTTATAAGAGAGTCAAAACGAACCGAATGTGAATCAGGAAAAGTTATTGCACAGTGAAAGCATGTCGGATGGTGAAATAGAAAGAGTTATGACAAAGTTTAAGCAAGTCCGAAGGTGAAACAGCAACAGTTATTGGAAAGTCAAAGCAAGTCCAAAGGAAAAAAAAACAGTTATTACAAGGTCAAAGTAAGTCCGATGGTGAAACAGTAACAGTTACTACAAAGTTAAGGTTAGTCTAATGGTGAAACAGAAACAGTTATTACAAAGCAAAAGCAAGTCAGAAATTTAAACATGAACGGTTATTACAAAGTAAAAGCAAGAGCGAATGTGAAACAGTAATAGTTACTACAAAGTTAAGGCTAGCTTGTAGCTGAAACATAAACAATTATTACAAAGCAAAAGGAAGTCAGAAGTTGAAACAGATATGAAAAAGTTAAAGCAAGTCCGAAGGTGAAACACAAACAGTAATTACAAAATTAGGGCAAATCCGAAGGTGAAACAGGAACAGCTGCTACAAATTTATGGCTGGACCGAAAGTGAAACAGTAATAGTTACTACAAAGTTAAGGCTAGCCTGTAGCTGAAACATAAACAATTATTACAAAGACAAAGCAAGTACGAATGTGAAACAGGAACAGTAACTGCACAATCAAAGCAAGTCCGAAGGTGAAACAGAAACAGTTATTACAAAGTCAAAGCAAGTACGAAGGTGCAACAGGAACAGTTATTACAAAGCAAAAGCAAGTCAGAAGTTGAAACAGAAACAGTTATTATAAAGTGAACGCAAGTCCGAAGGTGAAACAGGAACATTAATTGCACAATCAAAGCAAGTCCGAAGATGAGAAAGGTAAAGTGAATCCGAAGGTGAACACACAAACAGTTATTACAAAGTTAAGGCAAATCCGAAGGTGAAATAGGAACAGTTATTGCACAATCAAAGTAAGTTCGAAGGTTAAAATAAAATAGTTATTACATAGTTAAGGCAAGTCCGAAGGTGAAACAAATACAGTTATTAGAAAGTTAAAGGAAGTCCAAAGGTGAAACAGGAACAGTTACTAGATGATTAAAGCTAGTCTGAAGGTGAAACAAAAACAGTTAATTCACAGTTAAGGCAAGTCCGAAGGTGAAACAGAAACAGTTATTGCAAAGTTAAGCCAAGTCCGATGGTGAAACAATAACAGTTATTACTCAGTGAAAGCAAGCCCGAAAGTGAAACAGGAACAGTTATTGCCCAATCAAAGTAAGTCCGAAGGTGAAACAAAAACAGTTATTAAAAAGTAAAAGCAAGTCGGAAGGTGAAACAGGAACAGTTATTATAAAGTTAAAGCAAGTATGAAGGTGAAACAGTAATAGTGATTACACAATTAAGACAAGTCCGAAGATGAAACAGTAACAGTTATTTCACAGTTAAGGCAAGTCCGAACGTGAAACAGAAAGAGTTACAACAAAGTCAAAGGAAGTCTACAGGTGATATAGAAACAGTTATTGCAAAGTCAGAAGGTGAAACAATGACAGTTATTACGCAGTTCAGACAAGTCCGAAGGTGAAACAAAAACAGTTATTAGAAAGTCAAAGTAAGTCTGGGGGTAAAAGATTAACAGTTACTACAAATTTAAGGCTCGTTCGAAGGTGAAACAGAAACAGTTATTACACAGCTAAAGCAAGTCTGAAGGTCAAACTGTAACAGTTACTTCAAAGTTAATGGAAGTCCCAAGGTGATACATGAAATGTTATCACACAGTCAAAGCTAGTACGAAGGTGAAAGAGGAACAATTATTACGTTAAGTCCGAATGTGCAACAGGAACAGCTATTACAAAGTTAAGGCAAGTCCAAAAGTGAAACACAAACAGTTATTATAATGTTAAAGGAAGTCCAACGGTGAAACAGTAACAGTTATTATAAAATCAATGCAAATCCGAGGGTGAAACTATAAAAGTTACTAAAAAGTAAACGGGAGGCTGAAGGTGAAACAGTAATAGTTTTTAGAAAGTTAAGACTAGTCCGAAAGTGAAACAGGAACAGTTATTAGCAAGTTTAGTGTAGTCCGAAAGTGAAACAGGAACAGTTATTACAAAGTTGGGGTAAGTCCGAAGGTAAAACAGAAAGTGTTACTAGAAAGTCAGAGCATCCCGAAAATAAAACAGGAAGAGTTATTAGAAATTTAAAATAAGTCTGAAGGTGAAACAACAACAGTTATTACACAATTAAGGCAAGTCCGAAGGTGTAACAGAAACTTTTACTACAAAATTAAGACAAGTCCGAAGTTATTAGAACAATTATTAAAAGCCAAAGCATTCCGAAGGTGAAACAGAAACACTTATTACAAAGTTAATTCACGGAAGGTGAAACACAAACAGTTATAACAAAGTTAAAGCAAATACGGAGGTGAAAAAGGAACAGTTAAATCAAGTCCGAAGATGAAACAGGCACATTTATTAGAAAGTGAAAGCAAGCTCAAATATGAAACAGGAACAGTTATTACACAGTGATTGCAAGTCTGAAGTTAAAACATGAAAAGTTTTTATAAAGTTAAGGCAAGTCCGAAGGTGAAACGTGAACAGTTACTACAAAGTTAAGGCAAGTCCGAAGGTGAAACGTGAACAGTTACTACAAAGTTAAGGCAAGTCCGAAGGTGAAACGTGAACAGTTACTACAAAGTTAAGGCAAGTCCGAAGGTGAAACGTGAACAGTTACTACAAAGTTAAGACAAGTCCGAAGGTGAAACGTGAACAGTTACTTCAAAGTTAACGCAAGTACGAAGTTGAAACACAAACAGTTATTACAAAGTTAAGGCAAATCCGAAGGTGAAACGTGAACAGTTACTACAAAGTTAAGGCAAGTCCGAAGGCGAAACAGAAAATGTGGTCACCTGATGCCTGTCCATCCTGGATATCTTCTTGAGATCAGTCCGATCTGTGACCCCACCGTGAACTACAAACACTTTATTGTCAATTATCGTGGCCAGAGGGAGCCAGCTGTACACATCTTCTGTAACTTGAATGATCCGAGTTGCGTGACGCTGCAAACAAAGAGTTTGATTAAGAAGTTGTCGTATTGGAAATAAAGATATTTTTTATGTGACTTTGTTGAAATATATCGTCTGGAAACAGCTTAACATTGTAGAATTATGTTTTTAATGTGACATTGTTGAAATATATCGTCTGGAAACAGCTTAACATTGTAGAATTATGTTTTTAATGTGACATTGTTGAAATATATCGTCTGAAAACATCTTAACATTGTAAAATTATGTTTTTAAGGTGGCTTTGTTGAAATATATTGTCTGGAAACAGCTTAACATTGTAGAATTATGTTTTTAATGTGACATTGTTGAAATATATTGTCTGGAAACAGCTTAATATTGTAGAATTATGTTTTTAATGTGACTTTGTTGAAATATATCGTTTGGAAACAACTTAACATTGTAGAATTATGTTTTTAATGTGACATTGTTGAAATATAGTGTCTGGAAACAGCTTAACATTGTAGAATTATGTTTTTAATGTGACTTTGTTGAAATATATTGTCTGGAAACATCTTAACATTGTAAAATTATGTTTTTAAGGTGGCTTTGTTGAAATATATTGTCTGGAAACACTCAACATTGTAGAATTATGTTTTTAATGTGACTTTGTTGAAATATATTGTCTGGAAACAGCTTAACATTGTAGAATTATGTTTTTAATGTGACATTGTTGAAAGATATTGTCTGGAAACAGCTTAATATTGTAGAGTTATGTTTTTAATGTGACTGTTGAAATATATCGTCTGGAAACAGCTTAGCATTGTAGAATTATGTTTTTAATGTGATTTTGTTGAAATATATTGTCTGGAAACAGCTTAAAATTGTAGAATTATGTTTGCTGTATAAATAATTTTTAGAAATACAACGGTTAAAATGTTCTTGGTATAAATTGTGCAGAGTTGTGGAAGTGAAAATGTTAGAAGTTATTTCTAATTCATAACAGCATAAAGTATTGTGGGTGATAAATAGGTTCCATAAGCAGAAGAGCCAGGCGTCGGGCGTCTGCTCTTGGTGGAGCAGGTTAATTACCTGTTATTTATTATGAGGCTGTCATACACCACCTGTCCGTATTTTACCATGAATATATAAAAATTGTTTCATTTGATGTCTATAAATTTAAGGTCTCACATGCACTAACATATAAACTCATGCTTGAATCAACCAGAGTTTTAATCATCAGAATTCTAATACGTAAACTAGAGCTGTAATCAACAGAATTCTAACACGTAAACTAGAGCTGTAATCAACAGAATTCTAACACGTAAACTAGAGTTGTAATCAACATAATTCTAACACGTAAACTAGAGTTGTAATTAACAGAATTCTTACACGTAAACTAGAGTTGTAATCAACAGAATTCTAACACGTAAACTAGAGCTGTAATGAACAGAATTCTAACACGTTAACTAGAGCTGTAATGAACAGAATTCTAACACGTAAACTAGAGTTGTAATTAACAGAATTCTTACACGTAAACTAGAGTTGTAATTAATAAAATTCTAACACGTAAACTAGAGTTGTAATTAACAGAGTTATAACACGTAAACCAGAGTTGTAATCAACAGAATTCTAACACGTAAACTAGAGTTGTAATTGACGGAATAATAACACGTAAACTTACATTTGATAGACAAGTGAATACAGTTTAAAAGTATCAGAATACACTAAATCCAATTTTCTCAGTTGACGATCTTTCTTTTATTTAACGTAAAACAATCTAATTAGCGGTATCATTCTTTTTAATGAAAGCTAGGAGCAACTGTAGTTTAAACACCAATTTTAAAATCAATATTGTACTGTTACCTACCGTGTATTTATACATTATCTCCTTGATAAACCCATACCTATATTAGAAGAAACAAAACAAATATTTATATGCAATCTGTGAACATAACCTCCTTGATAAACCCATACCTATATTAGAAAAAAACAAAATAAATATTTATATGCAATCTGTGAACATAAC